ACTGTTTGATTGCATTTATATAAAAATTTTCAAAATGCCAACTAATCTTTACTTACAGATTAGTGGTTGCTTAAAGATAGGAGGTATAAGAGTTGGAGGGAATGATTATGAAGGTCAGAGGATACTTTTGAAGGTGATGGATGTGTTCATTATCTTGATTGGGTGATGGTTTCACAAATACGTATATATGCCCAAACTTACCTAATTGTACATTTTATATAAATGCAGTTTATGTAAGTTATATTCCAATAAAGTTGCTATAAAAAATTACAGATACTGTTTCTGACAAAATAATAGGTCCTTTTGCACTTCTGCTACTTCTTTGCCTGATTAGATGGAGAAGTTTAGGTGCCTAGACACCCAAGGATCACAGCATCTTATCAATTTGCTTATCCTCCTCTGCTTTATAGTTAGAAAGGCTAGAGGATGGGAGTGAAATCCCTATAAATGCTCCCTTCACCACACCTTTTATGTACCTTCTAGGAAGCCATTCCTTGGAATGCATCTGCCATTCCCTTCAACTAGTTCACTGCAAATACTCTTGCTGGTTTCCCTCCAACTTGGAAATCTGTTGCCCACAACTTGAACAAACTAATTTCCACAAACTTCATGGTTTAAAAACCAAAAATTTATTATCTCATGGTTCTGGAGTCCAGAAGTCTAAAATCAGGGGCACGTGGGTGGCTAAGTTGGTTAGGCTTTGGAGTCTGATCGCACTTCAGGTCTTGATCTCAAGCCCAGCATGGAGCCTATTTAAAAAAATAATAAAAAAGAAGTCTGAAATCAAGGTTTTAGGAGAACTATGCTCCCTCTAAAGGCTCTAAGAATCTTTCCCATTCCCCTACCAGCTTCTGGTGGCTCCAGGTGTTCCTTGGCACAACACTCCAGTCTCTGCCTCCATCTTCAACACATGGCCTTTCTCCTGTGTCTCTCAAATTTCCCTCTGCGTCTTTTATAAGGACACCTGTCATTGGATTTATGGCCTACTCTAAATCCATGATGATCTTGTCTTGAGATCCTTAATTACTTTTGAAAAGAACTTTTTTTTCCAAATAAGGTCACATTTACAGGTTCTGGGGGTAAAGACTCGGACATACCTTTTTGGGAGCCACTGTTCCATTCACTATAGCCATCCACACCTTCAGATTTCTAGGGATGGGTTCAGGGTAAGGCATGTGTCGTTATCATAGGACCTAGGATATATGGGTGGGATCTAGAAATGTTTCATCCTGTGAAGACCTTTTGCTTGGGCCTCTCTGATATCCTAGTGAGATTGCAAAAGGAAATGATCTCACCTCTTTTGCCCCATTCTGTTGCCATAGTGATAGCTCATAGCCTCAGGGCCATTCATAGCCCAATTAATTTAGCAGATGGGTAGTGAACTCAAGGTCGTAGATCTTGGAAGGAAGGAACATTCATTGAATCCTTAATCTGTGCCAAGATTTCCACTTTAATATCAAAAATCCTACAAATAGGTTGTAGTTTTCCCATTTTATAGATGGAGAGACTGGTTAGAGAACTTTCCTAATTTGCTCAGGATCCCATAGTGAGCAAATGTCAAGGCTAGGCTTTGCACTGAGGTCTCCTTGTTCCAAAGCCTAGTAACATTGTTACCACATAGGACTGGTACAGGAATGTTCCACACCATATAGCCCAGGGAAGATGAGTGATCAGAGGCACTCATGAGCAGAACCTCTGCTTCTGCACTCAAGATTATTACTGTTTCCCTCTGGTGATGTCCTTTTAGTGATAAATAACTTGTTAGTGGCACAAGAGTGGCACCCAATGGCTTCAGCTAAAAACTGCAAGATCAATGATGATTGGTCAAATTCTTTTACCCCTGGACCAGTCCCTCAGTTTCCACTTTTATTTTATTTTATTTTTTTAAAGATTTTATTTATTTTTGACAGGGTGAACAAGCAGGGAAAGCCGCAGGCGGAGGGAGAGGGAGAAGCAGGCTCCCCACTCAGCAGAGAGCCCGATGCGGGGCTTGATCCCAGGACCCTGGGACCATGACCCGAACCGAAGGCAGACGCTTAACTGTCTGAACCACCCAGGCGCCCCAGTTTCCACTTTTAAACAGATAAAGTAGAATGGCTGAACTCTTGAATAATATAGAGTAAAACAATCTATGGCTATTACATAGTTTATGGAGAAGTAGAAGAAATGAGAGAATATGTATTTAGAGTTTTATAGAATAGGAAAAGGCCATGCCTGGAGTGAATATTTAGGGGTGTTGGCACAAAGGACGTGGGCCATGAAGGAATAGACAAAGTAGTTCTCCAGGGCTAGTGTCACAGATGTGTGTAGCAGCTGAGAACATAAACCCATAATAAATAAGAGCAGTAACAGGGAAGTAGTTTTGTTAGGAAAGGTATTGTTTTCTGGGGGTGGGGGGTAGACCAGAATCAAATGTCTCACAGTGTTAAATCCAAGGAGGTGTATCCCAGAGATTGGGCTGTCTCATCTGGGGGGATTGATGATGAATGAAGGGTATGCAAGATTCATCTAAGGCTGAGAGCTTTAAATCTGAGTGTGGGTATTTCCTTGGTGATGCCAGTTTCAGGATAGGAGAAAGGTTTGTCTATTACATGAGATTTTCTTTTTTTCACACCATCAGGGCCATCTTTACCCTTCTGTGTTCCTTGGAATGTACTTAGACGTTGAAACTTGATTTAGTAAATAATACATGATAAGAGTACTTTTTGAGTTACAATTCACATACCATTTTAAATTGTAGGATTCAGTGGCTTTAAATATATTCACTGTGTTGTGCAACAGTCACCACTAAATTCCACAATATCTCCATCAGGCCAAAAAGAAACCCTGTACCTATTTGTACTCAGTCCCAGTTCCCCTCCTCCCATCCTCTGGCAACCACCAGTCTACTTTCTGTCTCCATGGATTTGACTATACTGGGTATTTCATGTAAATGGAATCACATAATAGGTAGCCTTTGGCTTCTTTCGCTAAGCATAATGTTTTTAAGATTCATCCGTGTTGTAACATGTGACAGTGTTTCCTTTTTATGGTTGAATAATACCCTTTTGTATGGATATACCACATTTTTTCTGTACATCAGTTGATGGACATTTGTGTTACTTGCACTTTTGGTGATTATGAATAATACTGTGAACATTTATGGGTGGACATATGTTTGTAATTCTCTTGGTTATATATCTCGTAGTAGAATTGCTGGGTTATATGGTAACTCTGTGTTTAACTTTTTTTTTCTTTTTTAAAGATTTTACCTTTAAGTAATCTCTACACCCAACATGGGGCTCGAACTCACAACCCTGAGATCAAGAGTCACACGCTTTACTGACTGAGCCAGCCAGATGCCCCACTATGTTTAATTTTTTGAGGAACTTTCAAATTATTTTCCAAACTGGCCATTTTACTTTCCCACCAGCAATGTATAATGGTTCCAATTTTTCCACATTCTCCCGAGTATTGTCTATTATTACTGTTGTTGTTGTTACTACCACCACCATCCTACTGGGTGTAAAGTGTCTCATAGTGGTTTTGATTTGCATTTCCCTAATGAATAATGATGTTGAGCATCTTTTCATGGGTTTGTTGGCCATTTGTATCTCTTCTTTGGAGAAAGGTCTCTAAATCTATCAAACCCATTTTTTTTTTTAAAGATTTTATTTATTTGACAGAGAGACAAAGGGAGAGAGGGAACACAAGCAGGGAGAGTGGGAGAGGGAGAAGCAGGCTTCCCGCGGAGCAGGGAGCCCAATATGGGGCTTGATCCCAGGACCCTGGCAGACGCTTAACGACTGAGCCACCCAGGCGCCCCTATCAAACCCATTTTTTAAAAAAAGATTTTATTTACTTATTTGACACAGAGAGAGAGAGCACAAGTAGGCAGAGTGGCAGGCAGAGGGAGAGGGAGAAGCAGGCTCTCTGCTGAGCAGAGAGCCTGATGCAGTGTGGGGCTTGATGCCAAAACCCTGGCATCATGACCTGAGCTGAAGGCAGACGCTTAACCGACTGAGCCACCCAAGTGCCCCAAACCCATTTTTAATTAGGCTGTTATTTTACTGTTGAATTATAAGAGTTCTTTATTTTAAATACAACACCCTTATCAGATATGATTTGTAAATATTTTCTCCCATTCTTGTGGGTTGAGTTTTCGCATTATAGCACCCTTTGAAGCACAAAAGTTTTTAATTTTCGTGAAGAGGAGGTCTATTTTTATGTACTTGTATTCTTGAAAAACAAGAAGCTAGGAGGATTGGGTTCTTATTTTAGTAAGAACTTTCGTTTCTCTGTCCAAATCAAGTGTGGCAAGGCTTTGAAAGGCTACAGAGGACCACAGAATGTGCCCTGTGGCCTCCCAGGTTTGACCTCAGGCAGTTACATGTTGAGCACTTAACCTGTGCAAGGTACACTATGCTAGCTGTAAAGGGATGCAGGCACAATGAACCTTACCTTTCAAGGAATTTAAAGTGTGGAAAATAGGGCACCTGGGGGGCTCAATCGTTTGACTCTTGATTTTGGCTCAGGTCTTGATCTCAGGGTCGTGAGATTGAACCCTGCGTCGGGCTCCGGGCTGGGCATGGAGCCTGCTTACGATTCTCTCTCTCCCTCTACCCTTCCACCCACTTGTGTGTACTCTCTACATACCTAAATAAATAAATAAAATCTTTTTAAAAAATAATGTGTAAAACACACAAACAAAAATGATAAACAAGGGCAGGCAGTGCATCTTCAGAGCCCAAGGAGAGAGGCAGATGGTAAGCAGGTGACCAGAATTCGGAGGAGGAAGGAAATGCCTGGAGTGCCTGGAATGGGTTGCAAAGGCTCTGACAGAAGGAAGCTTTGATTGGAGCTGGGTCGGGGACTCACATGAGCCAGAAACAAGTACGAGGGAGTTCTAGGTGAGGGGAGACAGCCCTGTGAGGTCAACACAGCCACCAGGCACACTTGTCTCATTGGGGCTTTTTCATGTTCCTGCAAAACTCACTTAGTACTTCTGATTTTTAAAGCAGCTGCTCCCAGAGAAAAATGCAGAGCAGAGCACAGAGGATGCACATGAGAACAGCAGCCTGGAACTCCTTGCAGGTAAGGTTTCAGCTTTTCAGGTGAGCCCAGGACCAAAGCTGAGAAGTTAAAAATGTTGACTTCAAGCTTTCAAACTGCATCTTCCACCACAGCAAAATCCTGGGATTTGGTTGGCTCCCACTGCCACTAGGGGTGTTCTGGGGCAGCAGGGGGCATTCTCTCCCTAAAGCTGGTATGATAGAACTAGAAATTCCTCATAAAGTTTGTGCAGTTAAAGATCGTTGTACATGGAGGGGCAGGGCCCTGAATCCAGTTCATCCCTTTGTGTCTTTTCTTGATCATTAGTGCTGATAATGCAGCTCTCCTGGTTTTGGTTACTGCTCTGTTTGGGGCTCTAGAGATTACTCCTGGGTGCAGAACACCTCAACCTTGATGTATGTTTTGGGGAGTTGTGTGTGATATGATTATACTGGTTGTTTCCCCCCCTTCCCTCCAACACTTACACAGCCTTCAGATCCAGCAGTGGCAGAGGATGTGTGTATGGCTGGAAATCACCGTAGCCACTGGTGCCTGAGCCTGATAGTGCAGGTGCCAGGCTCTATTCTGAGGTTTTAATGGTTTTTTTAAAGATTGATTGATTGATTGATTGATTTAGGGGAAGGGGTAGCAGGCACGGGGGGAGGGGCAGAGGAAGAGAGAGAAACTTAAGCAGACTCCCGCTGAGCGCAGAGCCCAATGCAGGCTCCATCTCACAACACTGAGATCATGACCTGAGCCGAAATCAAGAGTCAGACGCTTAACTGACTGAGCCACCCAGGCACCCCGATTCTGAGCTTTAAAATGCGTTAATGCTCTTAATTCTCAAAACAGTCCTCTGAGGTAGTGTTACTATTCCCATTTTACAGATATGTCAGTAAAATTACTGAAGGTCACACAGGTAGTAAATGGGAGAGCCAGAATTCAAAGCTAGGTAGCCTGGCTCCAGTCTGTCCCCAAGAGCCAAGACTAGTAGGAATGCACTGTCAAAACAGTACCTGGGCTTGAGGGAATTTGGGGACTGACTTTAGCACCTATACTTTGTTGGTAAAATTCCTCTTTCCAAGGTCACAACTACAACATGCTGCATGTTGTCCAGACTTAGACCTAAGAGGTGCTCCTGAATCATTCTATCAGTTGAGCCTTGTTTGCAATGTTGTGGGGGCTGTTGCTACTGAGAACCCTGCAGTGAAGGCTTGTATAAAGCAAAGAATCTATTTATATAAATATAGATTTGGAGATTTAAAAGAATGGATACAATTCAGTATTTATACAGTGAAAAGAGTAAAAAAGGAATTTCTTCCTTTCTTTAGAAGGGAGAAATTAACATTTTATCCAGCACCTTCTGTGGACCCAGGGGGATGCTGGACTTTCCCACAGTGACCACTCTGACAGTGATCCCCTTTGGCATGGGCAGCATTGGTCCCATTTCACAAGAGACAAGCCAGGCTCAGTCTATGCTTTTTCCACTGTGCAATATAAGCCTTAAAATCTAGGTATATGTAATCCGGTGCAACCCTCTGGAAGGCTGGGTGAGCTTCTCTGCTTGATAAAGCTGCAGCTCTAGTCACCATCAATCCTATGTCCCACGTGGGCAGTTCTGCTAAAGAAAATCACTGAAATTTGGATGATGCCACCATATATCCACGGTCTATTCACTGGGTAGCCCTTAGCTATCAGTCCTTTATGTCGTCTTCCTGGCCTTCTTGTCAGTTGCTACTCCACTCTTTAAAATGTCTACCCAGCTTCTGCCTACTGACTTAGCATCCTACTTCACACTTAGTGCCCAAACTCTCAGCATGGGGCCCCATCCCTGCTAGGCTCAGGGGTGGCATTAGCCCTACTGCTTTCTCAGAACCTACTTGCATCAGCTACCACCTCTGCACCTTTAGTTTCTCTTCTGAGTTCTCTCCCCTCAGCAGAGCAATCTCTCAGTACTTAAAAAAATCTCCCATGATCTGGAACAACTTCTCTTTCTCTCCATCACATCTCAGCCAGGGTTCTCAAAAAAGCAAGCTGTACCCTCTCCCTTTCTTCCTCCCATTCTCTAATTCTAACCCAGGGCACTTGCTTTCTTTGTGGCGTCTGCACTGCAAGGTCTCTTGTTTGGGAAGACTTCATAAGTACCAAATTGTACATTTATCTTTACTGTGCCTGAACTATTTACAGAATTCAGCACTAAAAGACTGTGACTCACCTCATCTCCCCTCTGATCTTTCTCTTCAGCCAGCTTCCTTTGGCCACCCCCTAAACGGTGCTTATATTGCCCCTTCCCTAGCTGCTCTCTTCCATCCCAGGCATTGAACCTTGCCTCTGGAGCTCAAGACTTTCCAGTTGGCGTGACTAGCCCAGGCCTCTCTTGAGTGCCAGATGGGAGATTTATCTGCTCACTAAGCAGCTCCATGTGGAGGTCGCATGGTCCTACCTGTCAGGATTTTTTTTATGAGAGAGGGAGGGTGAGAGAGCACAAGCAGGGGGGAGGGGCAGAGGGAGAAGCAGACTCCCCGTCAAAACAGGGAGCCCAATGCGGGACTCGATCCCAACGACCTGAGCCAAAGGCAGACACTCAAATGACTGAGCCTCCAGGCGCCCCCCTCTGTCAGGATTAATAGCACCACTACCCATCCAGTTTTTCACATCTGAAATGAGATTCATTCAAGATGCCACTCATTCTCCTGTATCACACCTAATCTCTCACCAAGGCCTGTTGGTTTGGCCTCATGGATATACTTCTTAACCTGGTGGTGCCTCCATCCATTCCTGCTGCCTTCACTCTCTGGGGCTCTTGAGGTCTTCATGTTCCTTTTTTTTTTTTTTTAAGATTTATTTATTTGAGAAAGCGAGAGAACACGTGCCTGCATGCACCAGGGGGTAGGGGGAGAGGGAGAGTCTTAAGCAGACTCCACGCTGAGCACAGAACCCCATGTGGGGCTCCACCTCATGACCCTGAGATCACGACCTGAGCCGAAACCAAGAGTCAGATGCTTAACCAATTGCACCACCCAGACACCCCAAGGTCTTCCTGTTTCTAGTTTGACTCTAAGCCACACCTGACAATAATCTAAAATACAAAATTAACAATACATCTCCAGTGCTTATTAAAATTCTTCACTGCCTATTTTCTACAGATAAAAATCCATTTCTTAGTCTTCTCTGATTCCTACTAACCCTTTCAGATTCATCTCCTAGACGCCCCCCACCATTTTGCATTTTATGTGGGATACTAATTAATGTCTTTGGGTATTTGCATCTTTCCACCTGGAATTCCTTTCCTTTCCCTTGTTGGTCTGGCATATTTCTCTTCATCCTTTAAAAACCCAGCTCAGACATCTCAGGGAAACTTTCTTCACCTCTAGGGATGATTAGCAGCCTCTTTCTGTGTTCTGTCCCTGGGCTTTGTACACACTTATGCATTCCTCCTAGCATTTGTGAGCCTCACCCAGAAACAGCTCATTGAGCTACATTCTCAGGACCTGCTCAGAAGGAATCTATGGGTACAAACTCACTTTAAATTTGCACAAGTCCATCAGTCAATGGGCACTGCTCAACGTACTGTGAGCTACGAAGGGAGAGGTGAGGCTGGCTTTCGGGCAGGGGGAATCACAGCTTGTCAGGGAGGGAGGAGCTGGACTCCATGAGAAATCTGTGTGCAGTGAATGAGTGGGCGTGAGCCCCAAGTGAGGACTGAAACCATTCTGCTGCCTCAGCCTTAAGGCCCGGAGCTGCGTTTTGATCTGGACCTGACTGAAAGGAATTTGAGGTGGGACGGCAAGAAGAGCCGGGACCAGTTCCCCCCTTTCTTCTGCCCCAAGGGTCTTTCTAGCACGGGCCGTAGGCGCAAAAATGGGCTTGTTTTCGCCTAGGGACCAGCGGGCAAGTGGAAAACAGGAGGCTCAAGAGGGGCTGCCTCCGGCAGGGCATAGAGGAGACGCGGGCCTTCCACTCTGCCAGTACCCGGAGCCCGTCAGAGGCTGCCGCGTGCCGCACGAAGCCCACAGGGCCCTCCCCGACGCCTAGCGGGAGCAGGGGGAGCCCCGGGGGCGGCCTGGAGGTAACCGGGCGAGGGCCGGGCAGGGGAGGGCGCACCGGGAAGGCGGAGACGGCCGCTGTCGAAGGGTCCTCACTCCGGGCTCCCTTTCCTCCCGCAGGACTCGCTCTGGCAGCAGGAGGTCTCCAATCTATCCGAGTGGCTGAGTCCCGGCCCTGAGCCCTAAGCTGGGGAGTCCCACCCGCCCCCAACCCCGTGCTTCCACGACTCCCCGGCAGCTGTTGGCGCCGCGTGCTGTCTGTTGTTCAATAAACTTGCTCGGCGCGCGCCGCCTCTGCTTCAGTGTTGGGGGCGGGGTCAGGGCGGGGCGCCCGCGCTGCCGGATGACGTCGTCCGCGTTTCCGGCACGCGCGGGTCGAGCGCCGGCGGGATCGCGTCACTGGTGCGCGCCGCGGGTCCGGGCGCGATGGCGGCGCTGGGCGGGGATGGGCTGCGCCTGCTGTCGGTATCGCGGCCGGAGCGGCAGCCCGAGTCGGCGGCTCTGGGCGGTCCAGGCCCTGGGCTGTGCTGCTGGGTGTCAGTGTTCTCCTGTCTTAGCCTTGCCTGCTCCTATGTGGGCAGCCTCTACGTCTGGAAGAGTGAGCTGCCCAGGTGCGGGGGCTGCGCGCGCGGCCGGAACCCGCGCCTCCGCGAGGCAGGGCTGTGGGCGGAGCTTGGGCGAACCGGGGGCGGGGCCGCGCTATCCAGAGGCGGCTGTGGGCCCCCAGAACTTACTGCTCCCTCCGTAGGGACCATCCTGCCGTCATCAAGCGGCGTTTCACTAGCGTCTTGGTGGTGTCCAGTCTCTCGCCCCTCTGCGTGCTACTCTGGAGAGAACTCACAGGCATCCAGGTGCGAAGGAGGAGGCGGGGCAGAGGGCAAGAAGGGGAGGATCTCTGGGGTCTTTAGCGGGGAGAGAGCAAGACTGATGCCTCCTTTCCTGTGGCTCAGCCAGGCACATCCCTGCTCACCCTGATGGGCTTCAGGCTGGAGGGCATTTTCCCAGCAGCACTGCTACCCCTGCTGCTGACCATGGTGAGTGCTCGTTTTATTTTTCTCTCGTTTTTAGCATGATGTTCCTTTCCGTGGCCTTTTTTTCTTCATTGTGTCCGTATTTTGATTGATGGGCCGCAGAAATTGTGAGATGGTCCTTGGCCCTCGGGTATGCATGGGTGGGAAATCCTGGCTGAGAACAGGAGGCTTGAAGTCTCATGAGGTCTTTTTTGAGCAAGGGTAGTGGATTATGGTTTAAACCTTTCCTTTGATCGCTCGTTTTTCTGTCCCCAGATCCTTTTCCTGGGCCCACTGATGCAGCTCTCTATGGATTGCCCATGTGATCTGGCAGATGGATTGAAGGTTGTCTTAGGTGAGTCCTTAAGGCTGAGGGAAAAAGTAGGCACAGGCAGCCCAGCTCAGTGAGAAAGGGAGTAGGTGGGCTTATGGTAGGACTTGGACACGAGATGTAGGAGATACCTGTTTCCTTATCAGTAAAATGGGAACATGTAGCAGATGGCCTTAAGAGTTGGTTTCTGACATCCAGGGAGTCCCCTAGGAAGCTGCAACAGTACTTTGTGTGGATTGAAGAACATCGTTCTAACATTTGGCTGCTTCAAATCAGAGCTGGTTTTGAGTTCTGATTTTGATGTTTCCAGAATTTACAACCAGGATATTCTGCCTCAGCTACCAATACCTTTCCTTGCAGTCCTCTTGAAACATTGTTTTGTGCTGGGTGTGATGATAAAGCTTGACTCTTACTGTTCTCAGGAGTATTGATGCCTAATCTGAGTTTGGCCAGGGAGAGGTTGTGGGAGGGGGGCCTTTGGGGCCTCTAGGATCTCTTTGTTCAATAGCTAGTCACTAATTCTTGGTCCTGAATCCCCTCCCTAGCCCCTCGCTCCTGGGCCCGCTGCCTCACAGACATGCGTTGGCTGCGGAACCAAGTGATTGCACCCCTGACAGAAGAACTGGTATTCCGGGCCTGCATGCTGCCCATGTTAGCACCATGCACTGGCCTGGGCCCTGCCGTGTTCACCTGCCCACTCTTCTTTGGAGTTGGTGAGTTTGTCTAACCTGGTCCTGTTGAGATGTTCCCAGCATGAGAGCCAAAAATGGGGTTTGGAGCAGGGGCGCGGCCTATAAGGCAGTTGTAGAGGAATGTGACCTAGTTCTTGCCTTCCTCCCAGCCCATTTTCACCACATTTTTGAGCAGCTTCGTTTCCGCCAGAGCAGCGTGGGGAGCATCTTTTTGTCTGCAGGTGAGTCCTAGAAAGCTTGCCTGGGGCAATCCTGGGTTGGGGTGTGTAAGGGTGTCCCTGATAGCCGTTCTGGAGGAAGACTTGGGAACAGGGGGCTGTAGTATTGGAAGGGCCCCTTGCCATGGGAGTTGGGGTGTAGAGGACAGCCATAGGTCCTGGGGCAGGCAGCCACTGCCCTCAGGGGGAAGGGGATGTCTCTGGCTGATGGTTGTGCAGTGCTGGGGCAGGAAGAGCATGCAGGTGTGGTCACTCGAGGCCTCCCCGTCTCCAGCGTTCCAGTTCTCCTACACAGCTGTCTTCGGTGCCTACACTGCTTTCCTCTTCATCCGAACAGGTTGGTCCTCAGTCTCTCACGGGTCTCCCCCCCCCCCCCCCAGGGGCTCAGGGGCCCACAGGAGTGGGTGGGAGAATGGGAATGCTGTTTGTTGTAGGAGTGGCAAGTTTCTTCCACTGTGGTCTGAGACTGGCAGAGCTAGGGCTTTCAGTCTGGTGAGGTCTGAGAGGTGGAAGAGAGCAGAGGCTGTGTGGTGTGTGTGGGTGGTCACTGATGTCCTATTTCAGGGATGTGGGTGATTAGCCCTGGAAGGGGTGCGGATGCTCCAAAAGCTGCTCTCTCTCCCCTCCCTAGGACACCTGATTGGGCCGGTTCTTTGCCACTCCTTCTGCAATTACATGGGCTTTCCTGCCGTGTGTGCAGCCCTGGAGCATCCGCAGAGGCGGCCCCTGCTGGCAGGCTATGCTCTGGGTGTGGGACTCTTTCTGCTTCTGCTCCAGCCCCTCACGGACCCCAAGCTCTACGGCAGCCTTCCCCTTTGTGTGCTTTTGGAGCGGGCAGGGGACTCAGAGGCTCCCCTGTGCTCCTGACCCATGCTCCTGACCCATGCTCCGATGAACTCTCACGGGCTCCCCAGCCCCTCCCCACCAAGGGGTACTGCAGGGGAGGAGCTGGCTGGGGTCCCCGAGATCTCAGGAATTTTTGTAGGGGATTGAAGCCAGAGCTAGTTGAATCCCAGGGACCAAGAGAAAGGAGCAGATATCCAAAGGGTGCAGCTCCTCTCCAAAGGAGGTTGAGGAACAGCTGGGAGTGAGGGGACAAGGGGCAGGTCCCAGGAACCGTGCACTCCCTTCCTCACTTTGGACTGCTGCTTTTCTGAGCTCCTCTGCCCCCATCTGCCTCTGAAAAGCTGCTCGGGGGTGGAATTTACAAAATCCCTCCCCCCAACTTCCCAGGGTTTTCTCATTGTCTTTTTGCATCAGGACTTTGTATTGAGATATTAAAGAGATTTAACTTGGGTAACATGGCCTTGGACCTTTGGAAATCAATCTATTTGGGGTCTTTTGAGTGTGCCCACCACCTTTCTTGGCTACTTTGAACACTAACCTCTGGGCAGTTCAGCCTGGTAGGCACAATTCCCTGAAGTAAAGGACAGGATGGGGTCCTCTGGATGCCTTGGGTCTGCAGCTTCCTTTCTCAGCCATGCCCCAAGTCCTAGCACAGGTGGACCTGGGACTGCAGGTGCCACACGTGAACTCGGCTCAACCTAGGGCCTCCTGGCTCCCAGGATCAGGGAATGGAACCCAGGGCCCTGACCCCAGTGATGGAGCCTCCAACCTGTGTCCCCTGAGAGGGTAGAGGGTCGATTGTAGGCTTTCCACCAGGACCTCCTCAAAGTCTACCAGCCTCACATTACACAAGGGAGAATAAACAGGTTTCAAATGGGAGAGGAACCAGCTCAGAGTCACCTGGGAGTAGAGGCTTTTCTGGCTTGGCCTCTGCCACTGTGTGGTTAGTCTGGTCCCTGGAGGAACTCAGAACAAGGACTGCAGCCCGGAGAGCACCAAGGACCCTGCTGAGCAACAGTGGAACTCAGGGTTCTTTCTTAGAACTTTCTAGTGTTCTACCTGCCCTTCTTGTTTTTTTGAATGGTTTTCATTCCCTTGCCCCTGGGACTTTAACTTTTAAAAGAGTATCATACTTTGAGGTCTCGCTCTAGACTGAAAGAGGTGGTCCCAAGTCCTGTCCCCTGAGGCTGGTGGTTGAAAGGAAATGGGTGTGCGGTCACTCCCCAGGGCACCCCCAGTTTGGCTGTGACTACACTACATTCACCTGGATCTAAAAGGTCGTCATGACAGTCACACACCTACCTTGCTGTGGAGAGCTTTCCTGTCTTCTGGCCTGTGTAGCAGCTGCTGGGGAGCCAGAGGGGGGCGAGCACGGCCCTGTTTTAGAGTGTACCTTTGGGATCTTGGGGTCCAAAGAGGAGGAAACCCAAAACTGCCCCCCAAGTTAGGTTGTGGTGCTGGGGGTGTGCTGCCTGCCTGGTCCCCTGGAGACTGGGAGATCTGGGCCGTGCTCTACCCCTTCCTCATGCTCCTGCTTGGGAATTGCCTGGCGCCCCCACTTCCCCTCCCTGTGGGGGCTGGGGGTGGGCAGCAGTGCAGTGACGCATGCAGGGTTGCTGTCCCCCTGCGGGTGAGGGATTCTCCTGAGGGCTTGGTTATGGGAATGGGCAGGCTTAGATCCGGAGACTGAATCCAGTACCCCTAACCTCCCACTAAGTCCTCACCCACAGGTTCCCACATCCAAGGGTTTTGCCCACCTCCTAGAAGTTGGCGTCTGTTTGTTTGCATGCAGTCCTCGACTGATGGGGTGGGAGGCTGGCCCAGGGTTTAGCAAGTAAAGCAGTGTGGTTGGGAAGCAAGTCCACTGACAGCTTGGGTGTGAACCCTCTGCCTCCTACCAGCTCTGGGGTCCTAGACGAGTTATTTAACCTTCCTAGGACTCCATTTCCCTTTACATAAAACGGGTGATCGAGTCACTGCGTTAATGGGTGTTCAGTGCTTAGAACAGCACCCCTCTACCCAAGTTCTCAGTACAACTACTCCTGTTTGGGATGCATGTAAGCGCCTGAAACCAACACTATTCTCCCTCCCCTCCAAGGAGGAAGATACAACTGACCTGCCCCTGCCATGGGGAGTCCCAGCAGGCAGGCCGGTCCCTCTGCTGAGTGGCGCTGGGGTGGGGCTGGGGGGCAGTGCTGCACAGGACCCGGCCGGGAGGGCAGCGGAAGCCAGTTTTATTGAGCAAAGTTCTCAGGACCGGACCTGGAGCCTAGGTCTCCTCCCAGGAGATAGGACCCCTAAACTTGCTCCCCTGGGCCTTCGGCCCACCACCTGTAGTCTCCCAACAAGGAGAGGACCCTTATTTGGCAAGAGATGACTACGTGAGCAGCTGTCCGGCACACAGAAGACAGACAGCTGGAGGAGGGGAATGAGCCACAGCAGGCAGAGTGTCTCCTGCCACAAACAGCTGAGGACAGGAGGTCCCGTGCCTCTGTGCCCTCGGGCACTGGCTGGCCTGGGCCTGCCCCGGCAGCGCAGTGTCTGTGGAAGGGCCAGGCTGCCAGCCTGGGGCAAGATCACTCAATCTCCAGGATGAGGTCATCGCCCTCCAGTGTCATGTCTGTGGTTACGTGGACCTTGCGGACAGTGCCCTCCATCGGTGAAGTCACCACAGTCTCCATCTTCATGGCGCTGAGCACACAGAGGGGCTGGCCCTTGGCCACCTTGGCCCCAGCTGCCACCTTGATGTCTATTACCTTCCCAGGCATGGGTGCCCCGATCTGGCCCTTCACATCCTTCAAGGCCTTGGGGTGGAAGTGCATCTCCTGTAGAGAGGGCAGAGGGGAGGAGACATGAGGCACAGGCCCTACCCATCCCTACTGCCTGGCTGGCCCTGGAGGGGCGGGGGGGACTGTACCTTCATGGCCTGAGTGTCCTTGACCAGAATGGACCGCAGCTGTCCATTGAGCTCAAAGAAGACCTGTCTCTGGCCAGCCCGGTTCAGGTCACTCATGGCGAGGGCTTTGATGTGCAGGGTCTTGCCCCGCTCCAGCTCCACCTGCAGGGAAGGCACGGAGGCTCAGAGCTGGGGGTGGGGGACAACAGAACACACAAGTCTGGGTAGAGCAGCACCCCGACCCAGTCCCAGGCAAGTCCCCCAACCCTGGGCCTCAGCTCCTCACTTGTAAAGGCCTAGCCTCCTGGTCTGTCCAGGGTGCTTTGGGTACCCACAGCCTGTGAGGCGGGGTGACAGCCAAGCCAAAGCCTGGAGCTCTAGATGTGCTGGTGTCCTTAGGGATGCAGGAGCAGGGGTGCTGGGGTGGAGTGTAGACAGGTGCCAGAGCCACTGACCTCAAACTCCTCTGCAATTTTGGGTCCCTGCAGGAAGAGGCGGGTATTGAGGCTATCCAGGGGGCCAAAGGTAGCCGTGAAGTCCTTGAAGTGGGCAAAGACGTCTGGATATATGGCCGCTGAGAGCACATCCTCCGGGGTCACCTCCTCCCCATGCCGCTCTATCAGCTCCTTCTCCAGCATCTGCAGATCCAGTGGAGGGAGGGAGGCTCCAGGCCGCCCATCCACCCTTGGCAGGTCCTTTAGCACCTGGGGAGCAAAGCAGAGGGTCAGGTCCGATGCCTGCACCCAACCTCCACCCTCACACTGTGCTGGGCCTTCCTACCTTAGAGCGAAGGGGCTCAGGGAACCCCCCGTGGGGAATGCCAATGTAGCCCTGCAGGAACTCCACCACGGAGCGGGGGAAGGACAGTTCTTCTGCCTGGGCTTCAGCCTCCGCCCGGCTCAGCCCATTCTGCACCATGAACTGGGCCAGGTCCCCCACGATCTTGGAGGACGGTGTCACCTAAGAAGAAAAGCCCCTGGGTTAGGATGCTCGGCATCTTACGGAGGCCCAGAGGCGGGGATAAAAGCACTGGGCCTAGCTCACCTTGATGAGGTCGCCCAGCATCTGGTTGGCCTCCACATAGGCCTTCTTGACCTCCTTGAACTTGGAGCCAAGCCCCATGCTGTGTGCCTGGAAGTGCAGGTTGGTGTACTGGCCCCCTGGGATCTCGTTCTCGTACACGTCCGAATTGCCAGACTTCATGGTGGCCGTGCAGTCGAAGGCCGCATACAATCCCCGGGCCCCCTCCCAGTACTCACTGTAGTCAAACACATGCTCCAGGGGCACCCCTGCAGGGAGGCCAGGAAAATACGCTAAGCTCCCAGGTGCTCCTCCCAGGACCCCAGAGCCAGCTCAGGCCCCGTCTCAGACGTGGGTGAGGAAGGCAAGGTCAGGAAACATCTGGATTCTAGCACAGGCCAGACGCCACTAGGACTACTGAGGACCACACCTGTGAGGGGAGTGGCCATGGACTCCCGCTGTTCCTACCTGTGTCCAGGGGAGTCCCTCGGGTGCAGGCCACCAGGGCCCCCATACTGGGCTGTGAAGTCATCCCGGACATGGAATCAGCTGCCACATCTACCACATCGGCCCCAGCCTGGGCACAGGCCAACATAGCTGCCACACCTGCCCCCGATGTGTCGTGGGTGTGGATGTGCAGCGGGAGGTCGGGGAATCGGTCCCTGAGGGAGCTGACCAGCATGGTGCAGGCCGTCGGCTTTAGCAGCCCTGCCATGTCCTGGGGCAAGAAGGCAAGAGAAAGGCGGTGAGGAGGGGGCATGATGAGGGGGACATATTGGGGGGGTGATGGGCAAGGGGCTGGGGAATCCTGGCGTGGGGTGCAGGGCTCCAGGCACCTTGATGCACAGGATGTGGGTGCCAGCCCGCACCAGCTCTTCGGCCAAGCCCATGTAGTACTGCAGGGAGTATTTGGTGCGGCTGGGGTCGGCCACGTCACCGGTGTAGGAGATGGCGGCCTCCACCACGCCACCAGCGTTGCCCGCGGCCTCCATGCCCAGTAGCAGATTGGGCATGTAGTTGAGGGAGTCAAAGACCCGGAAGACGTCCATGCCGTTCTCCTTGGCCACCTCACAGAACCTGCGTGGGTAGGAGAGCCCAAGGGTCAATCCCATCTCACTGTCCCCCCGCACATCCTTCTCTGACCTTGGCCTGGCAGGGGGAGCGGGACCCACAGAGCCAGTGTGTGTGTGTGTGGGGGGGCGCCCCAGTGTGGGCTAGGCAGGGTCACCCCAGAGGCATCTGGCCTCCAGCAGAGCTGTCCTGCCCTAGTCGATCTGTACCGTGCAGCTCAGTCTGCCCAGGTCAGAAGGATCAGCTGGAGATTCCTTGCAAGAGTGACAGTCTGAGAGAGAAAGAGCACCGAACGAAGGAGCCCTGAGGCTTCCACTGCCCCATGAGCTAGAAGTCCTCCCAGGTCTCCAACCATAATCCTCACTCCATGAAACTGCCAGATGGCAGCCCTTGCTGGGGACAGCTACGAGGCTCGGTGTCAAGCCCTCCTCGGGGCGTGCAGGCCATTGCAGCGTGGCCTGGCACCCACGGGGCCCTGCGGTACAGTGTCCGCAGCCCCCCCGGACCCCAGGCTCACTTGAAGACCACATTGTCGGGGTAGTTGGTGTAGCCCACAGCGTTGGCCCCCCGCAGCAGCATCTGGAATGGGATGTTGGGGATGAGCTCCCGGAGCTCCTGCAGCCGCCGCCAGGGGCACTCATACAGGAAGCGCATGGCAACATCAAACGTGGCTCCTGCACAGGGACCAAGAGGCCCGGGTCAGCCCCTCACTCCCCCGGGGACCCCACCACACCTGCAGCTCTGCGGCCTGAGCCTCCAGCCCTCACTCCATCCCACGCATCGTCAGGTCCCTCGCGTCCCTGCCCCAGCCCTTGCAGACTTTTCCCTTTGCTGCTCTCGGGGTAGCTCAGGATCAGTGTCCTCTGTGCTCCCTTTCACAGTCCTGCCACCAACTCTCTGTGCCGTAACGAACAGACCTTGAGCTACCAGGGTCTCAGCTCTGTGAGGCGCGCCCGGAGTCGGCCCCAGTCGCTGCTGAACAAATGAACACCATGCCTTGTTCACTTCTCACTGGCTTCCTCGCTGTTAACATCTCTAGCCTCCGGAGTGGCCGGGGGCCGGGGGCCGGGCCACACTGGATACCCAATTCCTTCCAGGTGCTGTCCCACGTTCCAGCCCTCCTCCAGCCTACCTCCCCAGTTCTCTATGCTGAAGAGGTTGCTCAAGTTGTGGGCAACATAGGGGGCAATCTTTTTGAGATCGTGGGTTCGCACACGAGTGGCCAGCAGTGACTGGTGGGCATCCCTGAAGGTCGTGTCCATCAGCAGCAGCCCCTGGTGGTTCCGCACAGCTCGGGCAAAGCCCTTGGGCCCCTCCCGCAGCAGGATGTCTCTGAAACCGGCCGGGGGTGGGCCTAGGGCAGAGCTGGGCATTAGCACCCATCCTTCAGGCAGCAGAGCCTCCTCTTTGTCTCCCCGAGTTGGCAGAATGAATCTCACCTACCTATGGGCACCGCAGGGACAACAGGGTCTGTGGGGCTGGGGCTGGCCTTCACGGGGATTGGGGTGGTTGGGCCGTTCACCATGACATGACCTAGGGAGAGAGTGGGTAGCGGGATCAGGAAGGGCTAGGGACAGTCTGAGTTGAGGGCAGAAGTGACAGTGGACGGGCCTGGGGATGAGGGCTTCCTCCAGGATACCCAGTCCTCTCCAAAGCCAGGGCCTCCTGGGTCCAAGCAGTGGGATCTACTGAGGGCCACGTGGACGGAAAAGGGGGCATCTCTAAGATCAGGAGCAAGGAAGGTGGGCAAGGTGGGAGGGTGAAGCAAAGGAGGAGGGTGTCGGACCAAAACGAGAGCAAGGACAGTGGGTGCTAGGAAGCTCTTCTAGGCAGGGGGCCAGGAGCAAGGCATCTGGGAGCGGAGAGAAGGGCCATCTCGGGGCCAGACCGAGGTAGTGCAGCAGCTTCTGAGCCCGGTTCTGCGCAGGCCGCAGCTGGAATAGGTCCGGGTTCTCATCGATGAACTGCGTGTCCACGGTGCCTGCCAGGAACTGCTGGTTGTTGAGCACATTCTGCAGGAAGGGGATGTTGGTCTGCAGGACAGAGGTGGGTGGGAGGGTGTCAACGTGTAGCATGGCTGGGGAAAGAAGAGGCTGAAGGTGCCACCCTGGGCCAGCATAGCTCCCCCCACGTTCCCCAGGATACTAGGCTGAGGTCTGAGGCCTTCCTGTGGGATGACATTTCCCCATCTCCTCACCAACCCCCTATCCTGGCAGAGTCCCCTAAGTTGTTGGGGGGCTGAGCCCACCTCCTCCCCTTTTGCTCACCCAGAGCATGTGCCGAATCACCTCCTCCTTCCTCAGGGACCTGGAAATTAAGTACCTCCCCTCCACACAGCCCAGAAAACGGGTCAGGCCCTTCCCACGGCACCGTGACATAAAGCGGCCGTGCTTCTTGACAAATGTCCCTACCTTCGGCGACCCCCTTCCCTGCAACCCTCCGCCCCCAAGAGCCACACTTTGGTATCCTCACTAAGCTCCATCCTGGTGGCTGACTCCTGCGGGCCCTCTCCCACCCTGCACTTGCTAACAGCTCCCACCTGGGCATTGGTGCCCTGGGCTTCCAGGACCTCCTGCTCTCCTCTTCCCCGTCCCCACTGGGGGCTCCTCTCACCCCTGCAGGATGGAGTTCTCAGAGCTGTCACTGGGCCTCTTCTCCTCACTCAGCACATTCTCCCTGGGTGGCCCCATCCTGGGCAGCCAGCTCCAGAGCCAAGACCCTAAAGTGGAAATGCCTCCCGGGCACCTCTCTTTGTGTGGCCCTCACACAAGCTCATCAAGTCCAAAGTCCGCTTCCCTCACCCAGTCCTCCTCTGCCTTCTGCTCGGTGCCTCACGGTCCACCCGGTTACCCAAACCTATGCTCCATCACCCCCAATACCCACTCCTGTCACAGGTCACTGGTCAAGCCAGATGGTTCTACCATGGCCATCTCTAGACTCTACGACCCCTTGTCTCCAGGCCATGCCTTCTGCCAGGCTCCCAAGTCACGGCCCCCTCCAGCCACACCAGACTTCCTTGTGCTCTCACGCAGCCACACCTCTGCGCCGGCCTGGTAGGCGCTTCCTCGAAGTCTGAACTGGAAGGCCTTTGTCTATACCTCCTGCCCTCACAAGAGCCGGGCCCTCCCCCCTTTTTAGTAGGCTTTTGTGGGATCAGCTGTTGGAAAGCGCCTCCCTAGGCCTCAGCTTTTGCTTGTCTGCAGTCTTCCTACACCTGGGAGCCCTGGGAGCATTCTGGGGGCAGGGGTGCTGTCCGATGTATCTGTGTCCACCTGCTTTGTGCACAAGGGTCATTTCTGCTCACTGAACTGTTGGGAGACAGCATGAAGCTGGAGCTGGCCAAGTCCCACCTAGAGGCCATAAGGGAGCCTGGAAGGCAGCATGGAGCCACGTCCCATGACTGCCAGGCCCCGTGGGTGGAATTCGAGCGTGCATGTGCCTGTGACCACATGGCTGTCACTTCAGATAAGGCATCCCGTGTCACCCACTCATGACCTCTGTTGGCAACTTCAGTAGGGACTCATGCTGCTGGGCCCTGCGGCCACTCTGAGAAATTCTACCTGTGCCCCTCCCCCCCCCACCCCGCGCTCCTATCACCTGGAGGTCCAGATGCGAAGGGTGCCTCCCCCACAGTCATTGCAGAGTGGGACCCAGCCAACACTGCCTCATGCCTCTCTGGTGTGACAGATCTGCCTATCTGTCCCTAAGACTAGTCCCTGCCCCTCCTAAAGGGACATTTCAACTGGACCAAGGCATGGCATTTGAGAAGATAAAACCAATTTAAGCCATCTAAAAAACCTAGAACCACACAGGGTTAAGAGGGATTCTCAGAGACCTCCCCTGTTCCACCTTACATTTCCTATTTGTAGGCCCCTCCCCCTTTGTGATTTTGTGGGGGATCGGTCGTCCCTATGTACTGTGAGGCCCGGTGGGGGCAGGAACCAGACCCATCTGGTTCTTGATGTACCCCAACTCTCAGCACAGAGCGGCTTGCGATGGATGCTAGTAGACTGATTTGTTTAGAGTGAAAGAAAATATTCTTGAAGGTGAAGACAGGCGCAGAGATATCCCATGCTTCTGAGCATCAGAGCTGACCTGGGCTAGAATCCAGTGCCTTCATTTTACAAATGCAACAGCTGAGGCCCTGGGAGTGGCAACAGTTAGGAATGACTTCCAGCTGCCAGGTGGCTGCGCCCCTCACAGGCTACATCTCTCCTCTCAGCGCTATGAGGCACGTGACTATGTGTAATTAATACCCCTCGGCCAAGATGAGTCAAGTGTTTCAGCGGTTAAATAACTTGCCTAAGATTAACCTGCTGTACCAGGCAGAATCAGAATTCCGTTTCCCAGGGGTCCTGGCCCACCCAGCCCCTAGGCATCATGTCTGCAGGGAAGGGAAAGGGACGGGGGTGGGGGGTGTCCAGGTAGCCTGAGAACTACGAGATACCTGGAGGAAGTGGCGACTCCCCTTGTTTCCCGAAGAACCAGAGCGCGCTCCCTGGTTCCGAGCACTCAGCGCTCCCACCCAAGCCCCGGCACTCGGAGGGAGGCAGCCGGGAACTCTTCCTCCCACCGCACCCCCGCCGGGAGCCCTTTCTCAGCCCAGACGAGCTCACCCTGGGCCGCTCTCCCAGGAAGACGGCCCGACAGGGACAGAAGGGGGAGGGCGGGGCTGCCGGCGCGGCGAGGACCACTGACGCACAGCTTCAAACAGCGTGCCACCGCCGGCCTGCTGGGAAACCGCGCGGCGCAGGACCAATCGGGCCGGAGGCGGAGACCGGTTGGCTCCCGAGCACGCCGGGCGGGGCAGGCAGCCCGGGAAGGGGAGGGAGGGGCGGGGCACGGCGCCAGCCCGGAGGCCGAACCCTCTCCGCCCCACCCCGCAGCCGGCCTGCCGGGGGCGTCGCCCCAGCCCCTCACTGCCACCCCCACCCCAGGCCCCGTGCCTGTTGGGGACCCTCCACGTGACTCGGTGATGCAGAACGGTTATGACCTTCAGCGTGTGTCTGTGAGGGTCCCAACAACAGTGCGGGTTTGCGCCCGGCCCTGCCTGTGGGTGCGGGGACGTGTGGGTGTGTGGGCATGTGTGGGTGTGCTGGGGAGGCTGCCCAGCGACATGTGACAAAGGCTCCCGTCTCTGGGAGATGGTGAAGGGGCCCGCGAGCTGGCGCTTTGTCTGGCTGTCTGCAGAGTGACGGTTCGCGCAGCGGCGGCGGGCGCCTGTGCGGTGCAGGATGCCGGGGCGCCAGGGTGGCCGGGGGCG